ATGTGTATAAAGTGTTTGTTTGAAAATATTTTTGAAGAGTGTTTGTGAAAAGATCTTTTTTGTTTTGAAATGTTTGTGAGCAAGCGATTAACATCGATTTACCTACTCAAGGTCTTTATTGCACTTTTCCTCCTCCTTTAGATAGTGATATCCTACCATTAGTTAGTAGGAAGCCCTATCATTGGATGTGAAGGGACAAGCGCGGGTCATCGTACAGTCATAAAGGCAACTCGCAGGGGCGCTTTAGCAATTCGTTAAGGGACTTGATCGTTTATCGAAAGGCAACATCAAAGGGTCATCGAGGGACTATGATCTTTTTATTTGAGGGACAGTGCTAAAGCGTCCCCACGTTCGAGGGACACAACTGTGTTTCCGAAGGCAACAAGTGAGCTTACCCTAGAGGTGTGAGTGTGAAGAGTGATTTATTTTCAGTTTATTTATCTTAAAATTAGGGGTTTCTACGATTGTTTTTAATCTTGATATATAAACGCTATTAGCATACATCTAATAATTACAAAATATAAGTACGGAAAAGTAAAATCATACGCTATTACAAGGCTTTGGGAATAAGGGTACAAATAGTAAAAATGGGAGAAAATAGAAAAACCCTAATTAAACTATTACAAATCGTAAACGGATACATAATTGGGAACAAAGGCGGAAGTAATAAAATACGCGAAAGTAAAAGGAAAAGGAAAAGGAAATCGTCTTGTGATAGTTTGATAGAAAAATTTAATGATTAACCTAATAACCTAATTAACTTTAATTAATTAAAAAGGAAATTGATTAAAAAACCTAAAAAAAACCCTAAGTTGATTTATTAATTAAAAAAGAATTGATTAAATGAAAACTTAAAAATTAATTAGGGTTAATTAAGTAAAAACCTAAAAATTAATTAGGGTTTGTGAAAATGTTATGGTTTTAAAAAAAAGGTTTTTTTTGTTGTAAAAATAGGAAAAAGAAAGAGTAAGAAGAAGAGAGAATTGAAAGAAAATAAAACAAATGGTAGGGGTGGGTGTTGAACCCACACCCTCAACAACTCTAGCCCACACACTCACCACTAGGCCAAGCGCGTCTTGGTGCTAAGGAAAGGCATCCAACGCGCTTTGTAACCTGCAAGGCAAATAAATCAGAAAAATATTAAAATGCCAAAAGGCTGGGATCAAACCCATGCCTTAGCATACTATGACCTTATCGCGCACGCTTCAATCACTGAGGCGGTAATACATCCGTTAATTATAGTTAAATAATAAATATATAATATAGGAATGATGCCTGAACCAGAGAGACGCCAGAGCCCTAGCTCCGATCATCTTCTCTGGTTGCCTTCTTATTCAACCTGCAAAAATATAAGAGGTTAGCAAGCCAAAAACATCATATCCCCCTAAATCGAGGATTGCGAGTTCAATGAGACAATTGTTTTGGTCTGAAAATCAATAGTTTGTGAGCTATGGTAAAAACAAATCCGATCGGTGTAGGCATGACATCTCATGATTTGGGTTGCATGGGATCATTATAATGATCCAAACCTGTACAAACACATCTCAGGAACAAGTTAATGACATTAGTATGACTTAAATAAAAATAAAAATTAAGATATGAATTTTGTGAAAATTATAGAATCGGAGATGAATGCATGGCATTTCATGAGCTTTGAACCATCAAACTTGGTCCATTCTTACTCTGTATAACTGCTGGGAATGAATGGAGTGGTTGTTTTGTAGTGAAAGGGTTGTGATAAGGGTTTGAAGATCTTTAGGGTTCTTTGAAATTTTTTGAAGTTTTTGACAAGTTTTTTAAGGCAAGATTTTCGTCTGTCTTTGTATAAGAATGAGTGGGAATATATAAGACAAATTAGGTCAAAGATATGAGCTTGGTCTTTGTGTAAGACATGCTTATATTTTATCTTATTTATTTTTGAAATATTAATGAATAAATCAAAATAATTAAAATAAAAATAGGTCAAGGGGTGTATGAAAAATATTTGAGGTGTATAAGGAGTATAGAGCATATTTGGACTCTGAAACAATGACCCAATAACCCAAAATATCAAGTTTGCCTAATTTGAATTTCATTCATTTGCTCAAAATTTCTCAACTTGCACTAGTCATAACTCTCTCAATTTTCATCTTTTGAAGGTGATCTTTGACTTTTTGGAAATATCAATATGTCCTCTACAATCCCTCTATCGATCACTTTTGAATTTGAGGACTTTATCTTGATGTATGTTTCCTTGACAAAAAGTATCTTTTTGTTGACTTTTGAAATGACTTGTAATGTATTGACTCATATCTCTAAAATGAAGCATTTTTAGACTTGAGCTTATATAGGCATAGTTGTAGAGAATTAAATTTCCTTCAAAATGAGATTTGGTTGGGGGAAAACTGATGAAGCATGTGAAAGTTATGATTGGTCAAAGTTCAGTTAACTTCTCCCAAGGAAACCCTAATTTGACAATTTTTGACTTTTGATGATTTGAGAGTTTTCATTGAAGAATCATGATCAATCCTTGATCAAATGATGAATATGAATTCAAAATGTTGATGTTGACCAAAAATCTTGAAGTTTGACGGTACATTGACCACAGTTGACTTTTTTTACCCAATACAGTTGATTTTCAGTCATCTGAACCATTGACTGAGGAGACTTGTGATGCAAGGCTTGAAACTTGCTATGAGCATTCTTGGAGGCATATAAGAGACCATGAATTTCATTTAAGACCTTTGAAACCCAAACTTCCTTGTGAAAAGTGAAACCCTAGTTGTGGATTCATTGCTTAGGATGAAAATTTGTCTGATCAATTCTTGAACAACCTTGAGCATTTGGAAACCCTAGGAGAATGTTTTGAATAAAAATGAGAGGGGAAATTTTGAGGTACAACACCTAGGCAATAGAAAACCCCACTCTTACCTTAATGAACGTTCTTCGAATTGCTTTAACGGTGGTTCTCTTAGCCCTAACTTTTTCCCTCTTTCTCGTTTCTTCTTCTCTCAAAACATGATCTCTTTGTTTTTCCTCTTAGTTTTCTACGATCGCCTTAGCCAAAGACAATTCTTCTTTTTCTTTGTTTAGACTAATCTAACCCTTGAACCCATATTCTCATATTCCTATTATGCTCTTCCTCATAATAATAATTAAAATAATTATTTAATTCTCCTCACTAAAATCATTATTCTACTATTCCAATTTAATAATAATAATAATAATAATAATAATAATAATAATAATAATAATAATAATAATAATAATAATAATAATAAAACACTCTCTCTTCACCTCATGCTTCTACACTTTTGGTCGCACACCTCCAATACCTTAATTTCTATATTTTTTAAGGCAATTATTCTTCATCAAAGTATCACAACACACAAGAAGACTCATCACCTCATATAAATACAGAACATCACATAATTAATTTATAAAAATTAATTTAATAAAGATCAGAGTGTTAAAAAAATGAAGGTTCTTAGATCCCAAAATAATTCTAGAACCTTCCTATAAAAGTCTAACAGAGATGTGACATCAAAGTATACACTATTCTAATTTTAAATATCTTTCACTTTTGTTTATCACTGAGCGTCGAATGTTTGCAAGTATTCCCCCACTATACTAGGACAAACAATTATCAAGATCTTCAATGCGAAGATCTTCAATAGAATTAACCGTCATATCTCATTTCACACCCTATTTAAGAACTAGAAAAATCCACGTCGGATCACTAACTATAAACGCTTACAATGATGGTTATGCATTGATTGATATAGAATATACTTGATAGTTGTACTTTTTGTGTGAAAACATTTTTGTTTAAAGGAATAAGAGGTGTTGTAAATATTATACTATAAATAGTAATACTTACCATAAGTTTACTGTACTATTATGACCCATTAAGCAAGCCTATTAGTTAAAATTTATGCATGTTAATCCTACTATTTTAATTATAACTTTGTAATATATTGGAAACCTTCTATACATATTTTCAATAATGTAAGCATATTAGTCTACATCAATTTTTAAAATATTTAAATATATAACTGTAAAATGAAATTTAACTAAGATTAATATATATAACTGTAAAATGAAATTTAACTAAGATTAATAGATGTGTTCCATTCTCTAAAAAAAACATTATTAAATTTTTAAATAGAGTTGAATCTCATTGATCAACTAGCTCATTAAGTAAGTAAAATTACTAATTTAAAGACACTAATATGAAATAAATTTTTTAAGTAGGCTTATAGGTTATACTAAACATTTAAAAATGTGATAATAAGTAAAAAGGATTTATTTTTAGATGGATTTAGAAGAGAAGACATTGAATGATTGCTGTTTATATTTAAAATGTGTTTGATATTGTAGAAAAGTTTAAAAAAAATATGATTTAGAAAGCAGACTTTAAATGTGATAATAACAAAAAATAAAATATACAATATGTTATGGGCTAACCTAGACCTTCAATTTTTTTATTTTTTTTATTTTTATAAAGTTGTTGATTTATAACTGTTATCTGAATTTGAACCTTAAATCAACGACTCCTTAACTCAGTTAGCAATTATCAACTGAACTACCTTTCTCACGCCACTTAAACCTTAAATTCTTTGAACAAGTAAAACCTATTTATGTAAGCATATTCCCACCCGAAACTAACAATATTACAGATGCTCTCAGATGGAGATACATTACAACTGCATAAACCATGACAATAAGTTAGAGGAAGAGATACCCCATTAACTTTCAAAGTGCTAAATTGTTAAATAACTTACATGGTTCTAGAAAAAGAGAAAAAGAACACTCCATTACATTCAAGGAGAAACTAAATGAAATCAGCCGGCTAATATCTATATATAGTAATTCGAAATTGTAATGTTATTACTATTTTGTTTCTTTCACATGTCTCCAACCACAACAAAACAACTCCTACAAGTTTTGCCACAGTTTTTCATCTATAAATATTTAGAAAGCAGAAACTTATGATATATAGAAACCAAGTTAAGAACAAGATGAAGAAGGTTTCTCTTTATGCTTGTTTATTACTCAACTTTAGTCTTTTGGTTATTTTTCCATATAGCAAAGCTAGTCAGGCTGATAAACTTGATGAGTTGATTCTGTCTAGAAGTTCACAGAATCCTCCTAAGACTTTTTCATGGGAAGCTGAAGACGCATTGCAAACACAACCTTCTTCTGCTTATGTTGTACCTCCTCAAGAGGGGAAAAGGCTAGCTGACAAGATTGTCACATTGCCTGGTCAACCCTACGGAGTTAATTTTGACCAATACTCAGGCTATGTCACAGTTGATCATGACACTGGAAGAGAACTTTTTTATTATTTTGTGGAGTCTCCCTCTAACTCTTCCACCAAACCTTTAATATTGTGGCTCAGTGGAGGTAAAAACAGTCTCACAAACTGCTTTGTGCTGATAACTTTTGTTCTTTTATGTGTTTTCTTTTTCAACACATAATGTTTGCAACATGCAGGACCTGGTTGTTCCTCACTGGGATATGGAGCCTTTGAGGAGCTAGGACCCTTCAGAGTCAACTCTGATGGAAAAACTCTACACCGTAACCCATATGCTTGGAACGAAGGTGCGGTAATCATCAACATAATTTATTTTCATTGAGAGATGAATATCTTACCAACTTATGTAATTGTGAAATATGCAGTTGCGAATGTACTTTTCTTGGATTCTCCAGCAGGGGTAGGTTTTTCCTACTCAAACACAACTTCTGACTATGACAAATCAGGAGATAAGACAACTGCAAAGGATGCTTATGTCTTCCTTATCAACTGGTTGGAGAGATTTCCACAGTACAAAACAAGAGATTTTTACATAACTGGAGAGAGTTATGCTGGTCACTATGCTCCTCAGCTTGCATCCACTATTCTTCACAACAATAAACTCTATAACCAATTCATTATTAACCTCAAAGGCATTTCTTGAAGGGGTGAAAAACACAAGAAGGGGGGGGTTGAATTGTAAAACTGGAAACTTAAAGACAAAATGACAAGGTATTTTTATCCTGGTTCGTTTGATCTCAAACTACTCCAGTCCACCCGTTCAAGGTGATTTCGCCTCTCTCCAACGAGGTCTTAATTCACTATATTCAACTGAATACAAATCTGCTTTAGCAACTGCTAAAACCTTCTTGATTCAAACCACAATCCGGTTTGTCAAGGCAACACTTTCTTACAAATGAATGAACAAGTGTGTATGAATGTTTTCTACAAAAAACTATATCACAACTGTGATGTTTACACAAATGAAGCTTAGAATACTAAGATGCTAAACGCTAATAGAGTATCAGAGTTTGGTGGTTTAGCAAAACTTGTAGAGTTAAGATTACTGTTCAGCTTTTTGCGTGTAGAGAGTTTGGAAGCATTAGCCGTGATAATCTTCAAAGCTTGGTTTATATAGCACTTTGAGAAGATGAACGTTGAAGCAAATATTCTTGATTCAATGCTATTTACAAGCTTTCCTTTTTGAGCAGATCTTGTCTAGAATGATGCCGTTGGTATTGATTAGCTTTCAATGCACAGTACCGTTGCTTCTTCAATGCACGATCTGGCTTGGCTCATTCTGATTCTGCTTCGCTGCTGATGAACTAATTTGTTTCTGTATCAGAGTGTTTTACGCGCAGTTCTGTTCATCAAGCTTCAGCATGTGCAAGCGTTGATCATCTGATCTTGACGTTCTGATTCAGCAACTTCTGATGCTGATGTGCAAACTCATATTCTGATGCTGAAAACGTGATCTTGCTTATTTTAATCAGCATATCTGCAAGTCAGAGCATAGTAATTTTAGGCAGCATATAATTCAATCATAAAATATTTAACTACTATATCTTTTCACTTTGTTATCATCAAAACTTAAATATAGGGTACTAGATTCAAACATTGTTCTAACAATCTCCCCCTTTTTGATGATGACAAAAACTAGATATTTTAAATGAAAAATAACGTGAAAAGTTATCAGATCTATGTATCAGAATAAGAAGTACGGAGAGGTCAGAGTTAAGAAATACTCCCCCTGAGTTTGTTACTTCCCTTTGATATGTGTGTTCTTCAGAGTCAGATCTTTTTCTATCTTTGAGCATCAGATTATAAGTCTTTGACTTATCAGAGAGCAGAGCTTCAGAGCTTTTCCTGTCAGAGCTTTGCTTCGGATCAGAGTGTTAGGTCGATCAGATCTTCATATATCAGATCTTCATATTTGATCAGAGCAACATGAGCTTTTATATTTTGATCAGAGCTTCTAGTCTTCATTGTGCCTGTAGACTTAAAGACAAAACAGAAAAACATTTCAAGTAATAGAGTTAGAATGTTTGAGAATTTCTGTCTAGTTAGCCGTTATTGATTTTAAATATCATTCTTGTTCTCCCCCTTTTTGTCAGCAATCAAAAAGTGCTGGTGATGTGCTAAAATGATTTAGATCAGAAAAACTAATAATATTAAAGATAGTTCAGAATCAGAGCAAAATAGCATTACAAACCATAGTCAAAACATAGTCAAAAGTACATCAGAAAATGAAGAAAATATAGAGAATGTCATGCATAAAAAAAATTTCAAGGTTGTGGGGGCATGCGTGAGAATGATTTGAGAAAAGCTAGGGTTTTGAAGGAGATATGCAGAAAAATTCTTAAGAGATTATGAGTAAGCGTAAAGAATAAACATGAAGAGTAATGTGCTTAAATAGGATTTTCAAAAATTATTTTGAAAAATAAAACGTTTTTAAAAAATAATGATTGCCATTAACAAGCGTGATTACTTTTGCATTTAATGCTTGCTGATTTTGGGGGATTTGAGAAAGATACTTAAAAACGGTTACCAGACATGTGTCTCAATGCACCCAATCAGCGCTTTCCTTTCTCAGAAGCGTGCACGCGTTCTGCTTCAGGGATTTGCTGATGATTGGATGACACTTGTTTGATGTAGTGATCAGCACGTCTGTATTTGAGATTAGACTCTCAGATCTTTAGACTTGCCTCTGATACAATCTGCATGTTCTTACTTTCTGAAAGAGGATTGATCAGAAGTTCACAGTAATATAAATACATTCTGAAAGATAAAAATATGGAATTAAAGCATTTTCATTCTGGGCATACTTTCATGCTGAGATGTTTCAGAATGAAATTAAACCTATCTTCTGAAAGGGGTTTTGTAAAGATATCAGCCCATTGATGGTCTGTATCTATAAATTTCAAGTTTAAAATTCCTTTCTGAATATAGTCCCTAATGAAATGATGTTTTATTTCTATATGCTTAGCTCTAGAATGTAAAATAGGATTCTTACTTAAGCAAATAGCAGAAGTATTATCACAAAGAATAGGAATGTTACTCTCAAAAATCTGGAAGTCTTCAAGCTGACTTTTCATCCAGAGCATCTGTGTGCTACATCCAGCTGCTGCTATGTACTCAGCTTCTGCTGTTGACAGAGCAATAGTTGATTGCCTTTTGCTGGACCACGAGATCAGATTTTCTCCCAGAAACTGGCAGCTTCCAGAAGTACTTTTGCGTTCCACTCTGTCTCCAGCAAAATCAGCGTCGCAGTAGCCTACTAAACTGTAATCACTAGATTTTCTATAAAACAAACCCAGATTAGTAGTACCTTTCAGATACTTGAAAATTCGCTTAACAGCTGTTAAGTGAGATTCTCTAGGATCTGATTGGAATCTAGCACAAATACATACGCTGAATAGAATATCAGGTCTTGAAGCAGTCAGATAAAGGAGAGAACCAATCATACCTCTGTAGACCTTCTGTTCTACGCTTTTGCTTACCTCTTCTCTTTCCAGAATGCACGTGGGATGCATTGGAATCTTTGATGGCTTACATTCTGAGAGGTCAAATTTCTTCAGAAGATCTCTGATGTATTTGCTCTGATGAATGTAAGTTCCCTCTGGAGTTTGATTGATCTGAATTCCTAAAAAGAACTTCAGTTCCCCCATGAGGCTCATCTCAAATTCTGCCTGCATACACTTAGCAAATTTTCTTCCAAGAGAAGGATTAGTAGAACCAAAGATTATATCATCAACATAAATTTGACAGACTAAAATGTCACTCTTAACTGTTTTACAGAATAGAGTGGTGTCCACTTTCCCTCTGGTGAACTCATTTTCAAGCAGAAAGTTACTTAGCCTTTCATACCAAGCTCTGGGAGCTTGTTTCAGACCATACAGTGACTTTTTCAGTTTGAAAACATGTTCTGGATGTTTAGTATTTTCAAAACCTGGGGGTTGGTGAACATACACTTCTTCTTCTATATAACCATTTAAGAATGCACTTTTGACATCCATCTGATACAGAGTGATGCCTCTATTAACAGCAAATGAGATTAAGAGTCTGATAGATTCTAACCTGGCGACTGGGGCAAAGGTTTCTGTATAGTCTATCCCCTCTTGCTGACTATAACCTTGTGCAACCAGTCGTGCCTTGTTTCTGACGACTTCACCTTGTTCATTGAGCTTGTTTCTGAACACCCATCTTGTTCCAATGACGTTGAATCCTTTTGGTCTTGGAACGAGATCCCAAACGTCGTTTCTGGTGAATTGATTCAGCTCTTCTTGCATTGCCAGAATCCAGTCATTGTCCAGAAGTGCTTCATCAATAGAAGAAGGTTCAATCAGAGACACAAGTCCCATCAGAGTTTCTTCAGAGTTTCTGAAGCTTGCTCTTGTTCTGATTGGATCTTCCTTTCTTCCTAGGATAGTCTCTTCTGGGTGATCCAAACTGCTTCTGGGTAATCTCTTCTGAGGTTGATCAGCAGCAGTTGTAGGATTTCTAGCATTGCTTCTTTCAGACGTTGAAGGAATGTCTGTGTTGAGAGCTTCTGATGACTTGTCTTCAGAACCTGCAAATTCAATTTTTATACCTGCAAGATTTTCATTCTGCTTTGACTTTTCAGAGTCAAGCTTGTCATCAAAACGAACACTGATTGATTCTTCCACAATCTGTGTTTCTGTATTGTATACTCTGTACCCTCTTGAGCGTTCAGAGTATCCTAACATAATACACTTCTGTGCCTTAGAATCAAACTTGTTCAAATAATTCTTAGTATTTAACATATAGCAAGTACATCCAAATGGATGAAAATACGAAATGTTGGGCTTTCTGTTCTTCCACAATTCATATGGAGTCTTTTCCAGAATAGGTCTTATTGAGATTCTATTCTGAATGTAGCACGCTGTGTTTATTGCCTCTGCCCAGAAAGTCTTAGCAACGTTTGTCTCGTTGATCATGGTTCTGGCCATTTCTTGCAATGTTCTGTTCTTTCGTTCTACAACTCCATTTTGTTGAGGAGTTCTAGGACAAGAGAAATCATGCAGAATGCCTTTGTCATTAAAGAATGACTCAAAATCTTTATTTTCAAATTCTCCACCATGATCACTTCTGACTTTAACGATTCTAAGATCTTTTTCATTCTGAACTTGGTTACAGAAGGTAACAAACACAGAGTGTGACTCGTCCTTGTGTCTTAAGAACTTTACCCATGTCCATCTGCTATAGTCATCTACGATTACTAATCCATACTTCTTGCCACTGACAGAAGCAGTTTTAACTGGTCCAAATAAGTCAATGTGCAGAAGTTCTAATGGCTTAGAGGTAGAAACAACATTTTTGGATTTAAAAGAGGGTTTTGCAAATTTGCCTTTCTGACATGCTTCACACAGAGCATCTGAATTGAACTTCAAATTTGGAAGTCCTCTGACCAGATTGAGTTTGTTAATCTGAGATATTCTTCTCATACTAACATGTCCCAATCTTCTGTGCCAGATCCATTGCTCGTTGTTAACAGACAGAAGACATTTTACGTTCTGACTCTTAAGTTCAGAAAGTTTGATTTTGTAAATGTTGTTTTTCCTCTTACCATTAAATAGGATAGTCCCATCTTTCTGACTAACAGCTTTACATGATTTTTGATTAAAGATTATATCATAACCGTTATCACTTAATTGACTTATGGATAACAGGTTATGCATCAATCCATCAACAAGCAGAACATTATTAATAGAGGGAAGATTTCCGTTACCTACAGTTCCAGAGCCAATTATCTTTCCCCTCTGATTGCCTCCAAAGCCAACGTGGCCTCCAGGCTTAAGTTCCAGGCTTTGGAACATATGCCTTCTTCCCGTCATGTGACGTGAGCAGCCAGAGTCCAGGTACCATGACTGGTGTTTCTGACTTGCTGCTAAAGATATCTGCAACATGTATTATTTTATCCTTAGGTACCCAGATCTTCTTGGGTCCTGATTTGTTAGTTTTACCAAAACTCTGGTTGAATTTTGGTTTCACAAAGTGATTACTACTAGTATATTTGATGTCATGTGTGTGACCATACACAAAGTGTGAATTTAGAGGAGTGTGTTTAACAACTAAATCCATGACATTTTTAGGTGTAGGAACCTTACCTAGGTATCCTATTCCTTTCCTGCCGTTTCCGCTAACTCCATAGATCATTGAAGCCATTCTGCTTCTATCTATGCTTTTAGCAAGGAACTTCTGGAAACTATGATCATACTCCTTGATGATCTCATCAGCGTTGCTGGGAGTTTCAGAAATTGGTACCTTCTGAGAGTTTTGTAAAGAGTTTTCTAATTTTAAAATTTTATCTCTCAGCTCAGAGTTTTCCAATTTGAGACTCTCAGACTTATTAGAGTCAGATTCAAGAGTCCTTTTCAGGTCTCTGAATTTAGCTCTAATCTGCTGATAACGTTCCAGAATTTCATTTAGGCTTTCAGCAAGTTCAGCCTTTGTAAAATTAACAGCGAAGTTAGGGAATACCTCTTCTGTGTCTGATTCTGAGTCTGAGTCAGAAGCTTCACTGTCATCTGGAATGTTAGCCATAAGCGCTATGTTCGCCCTTTCATCATCTGATTCTGAGTCAGCTTCAGACGAGTCAGAGTCATCCCATGTGGCCATGAGACTTTTCTTCTTCTCTCTTCCAAACTTCCTTTTTGGCTTTTCCCTCTGAAGCTTTGGGCAGTCACTCTTGTAGTGACCTTGCTCATTGCACTCGTAGCAGATGATGTCTTTTGTATTTGGCTTCTTGCTACCTGAGGAGCCTTCAGATCTTCTGTATCCAGAGGAAGAATCTGTTCTTCTGTATCTGGAAGAAGACTCGTTCTGATCAGATCTTCTGGGATTCCTGAATTTCTTTTGTCTTTGCTTCCACAGTTGATTTACTCTTCTGGAGAGAAGAGAAAGCTCGTCTTCTTCTGATGAGGATCCATCAGATGTTTCTTCAACTGCCTGCAAAACTTTAGATTCAGATTTTCTGTTAGATTTTAAAGCTATAGGCTTACCTTGCTTCTGAGGCTCGTCAGCTTCCAGCTCTATCTCATGACTTCTGAGGGAGCTTATAAGTTCCTCCAGAGTGATTTTGTTGAGATCTTTCGCCAGCTTCAGAGCCGTAACCATAGGCCTCCACTGCTTGGGTAAACTTCTGATTATCTTCTTGACATGGTCAGCAGTAGAGTACCCCTTGTCCAGAACTTTGAGACCAGCTACCAGAATCTGGAATCTGGAGAACATAGTTTCAATGGATTCAGATTCTTCCATTTTAAACGCCTCATACTTCTGAATGAGCGCCAGAGCCTTTGTTTCCTTGACTTGGACGTTGCCCTCATGCGTCATTCTGAGAGAATCAAAGATGTTCTTAGCTGTGTCTCTGTTGGAGATCTTCTCATACTCAGTATAGGAGATAGCACTGAGAAGGATGGTTCTGGCCTTATGGTGATTCTTGAAATCACGCTTTTGTTGATCAGTCATTGATTTTCTATCAATCTTCTGACCAGTTGCATTAACAGGGTGCGTGTATCCATCTGTCACCATATCCCACAGATCAGCATCATGTGCTAGAAAGAAGCTTTCAATTCTGTCTTTCCAGTAGTCAAAGTTTTCTCCATCAAAGACTGGAGGTTTGCCGCTGAATCTGTCTCTGTCCTCATTGGTGTCATTGCTGAAATGAGAGTTGTTTCCTGCCATAGTGTTTTTCTGACGCTGGATCTTTTACTGACACGGTTAAGTGTTTTAGCTCAGAACCAGGCGCTCTGATGCCAATTGAAGGGGTGAAAAACACAAGAAGGGGGGGGGGGGGTTGAATTGTAAAACTGGAAACTTAAAGACAAAATGACAAGGTATTTTTATCCTGGTTCGTTTGATCTCAAACTACTCCAGTCCACCCGTTCAAGGTGATTTCGCCTCTCTCCAACGAGGTCTTAATTCACTATATTCAACTGAATACAAATCTGCTTTAGCAACTGCTAAAACCTTCTTGATTCAAACCACAATCCGGTTTGTCAAGGCAACACTTTCTTACAAATGAATGAACAAGTGTGTATGAATGTTTTCTACAAAAAACTATATCACAACTGTGATGTTTACACAAATGAAGCTTAGAATACTAAGATGCTAAACGCTAATAGAGTATCAGAGTTTGGTGGTTTAGCAAAACTTGTAGAGTTAAGATTACTGTTCAGCTTTTTGCGTGTAGAGAGTTTGGAAGCATTAGCCGTGATAATCTTCAAAGCTTGGTTTATATAGCACTTTGAGAAGATGAACGTTGAAGCAAATATTCTTGATTCAATGCTATTTACAAGCTTTCCTTTTTGAGCAGATCTTGTCTAGAATGATGCCGTTGGTATTGATTAGCTTTCAATGCACAGTACCGTTGCTTCTTCAATGCACGATCTGGCTTGGCTCATTCTGATTCTGCTTCGCTGCTGATGAACTAATTTGTTTCTGTATCAGAGTGTTTTACGCGCAGTTCTGTTCATCAAGCTTCAGCATGTGCAAGCGTTGATCATCTGATCTTGACGTTCTGATTCAGCAACTTCTGATGCTGATGTGCAAACTCATATTCTGATGCTGAAAACGTGATCTTGCTTATTTTAATCAGCATATCTGCAAGTCAGAGCATAGTAATTTTAGGCAGCATATAATTCAATCATAAAATATTTAACTACTATATCTTTTCACTTTGTTATCATCAAAACTTAAATATAGGGTACTAGATTCAAACATTGTTCTAACATTTCTGTATGTTGTTCAAACTTCAAACACACTGATAATGCAATAACTCACAATCATATATGTCTAACTTTCTTATCTTGTATTTAAAAAATTTCAGATAGGAAATCCCTGGATTAATGATGCTACAGATTTAAAAGGGATATTTGATTACTTTTGGACTCATGCTTTGAACTCAGGTGAAACTCATGAGTTGATTGACAAGTACTGTGACTTCAATTCTGAAAATGAATCAGCAATATGTACCAATGCAACAATAAGAGCTTCAAATGAGATAGGACACATAGATTTCTATAACACCTATGCTCCACAGTGTCATGATTCTTCTCTCAAAAATGGTTCAACTGGTTATGTAAGTAACGAATTTGACCCTTGTTCTGATTACTATGGTATTGCCTATCTAAATACACCAGAGGTCCAAAAGGCTCTTCATGCAATACCTACTAATTGGACCTATTGCACGTAAGTAATTCATAACCCCTTTTAAGAAATTGCAAAATAGTACTGTTTGTTTTGACACCTCCATAACTGTTTTTTTTTTAATGTTAATCAAGTGTATTAATTTTTATGACAACTTGCAGTCGTGTTATTCGTAACTGGATAGACAGTCCAGTTACTGTCCTTCCCACCATCAAGTATCTCATAGACAGTGGCATTAAAATATGGATATACAGGCAAGCACAATTTCATATCATATAACAAAGAGTTAACACTGCTATGGAAATTTGAATACACTAGAACAATAATATACCATGTAGACTCTTGTGAATAATGAGATGTTGCATTTTTGTATTATCTATTACAGTGGTGATACAGATGCAAGGGTTCCAGTAACATCTTCAAGATATTCAATCAACACTCTTAAGCTTCCTATCAACTCCGCTTGGCGACCATGGTATTCTGGAAAAGAGGTACTGAAATTGGTCTATTTAGTGTCTTTTCTTCAAGAGCAAGTAATATAGTATTTTTGAACTGTGACCAAATTATGATAATGACAGATTGGAGGATATGTTGTTGGATACAAAGGTTTGACATTTGTTACAGTAAGAGGAGCCGGACATCTTGTTCCAAGCTGGCAGCCGGAAAGAGCTTTGACTTTGATCTCATCATTCATCTATGGAATTCCGCCTCCTGTTTCACCATCAAATTAATGGCTTCTAAGCATGCTCCATGTTTCAATTTACTTTGAAACGCACTTTGTGCCTAATCTACTTGTTAGATTGTAATAAAAAAATTAGTTTCAACTTTCAATTAAATGTTTTTTTACGTATAAGTTGATCTTAATGTGATGACAATATTATAAGAACTCCCTTGTTGTGAGAGTGTTTCATGTTTGTTTTATTATGTCGCATTTGTATGAACCAAATTAATTGGTAAGAGATCTCTAATAGAATTCTAGTTTATTGATTGTGCACAACTTGATTACAAACCTATATGCCTCTAAGTAGATAAAGGGCCAGAAGGTTACAAAGAGATAACTACTAATTTTGAATAGAAACCTTATCTATGATAACTAACTTTATCTTTTATCTTAACTTCTAGGAGAGGGAAAACAATTGTTGCATAACAAGTTCTGTTATGAACTTTATACTATTGACACTATTACTTCCATTCAAGTTGGTGTGTTGGATTATACACACCCGACTTGAGCACTAGTACAGGAAAAGTATTAGTGCCCAAAGATTTTGTAAAAATATTAGTTGGTTGTTGTTTAGTTGGGATGTAGGCAATATAAATTACACCTGATTGTAAATGTTGACGTATGAAATGGCAATTCACTTCGATGTGCTTAGTTCTTTATGTGTGCTTGTTTTGGTGTTTGCATAAATTGACTCAAAATATGAACATAGTAAGTGTTCTCTGGGCGAGTGATATTGAGGTAAATGAGATGTCCCTGGCATCTATGGTATTGAGAAGGATCTGAATAAGGTGATCTGGTAGCCAATGCAAAACAATAGTTTTGTTCCATTGGAAAGAAAAAAAGGTTTGGAAGCAAGCATTCCTCATTCCTCCAAAATGTTTTAAGTGTACTCTCTTTGACATATAAAAAGACCATGTGTGCGTCATGCTAGTTCCAAGCCAAGGAAGTATTGTAAGCTCCATAAATCTTTCAAGCCATAACAAGATCACCACTATAAATGTGCTTAGCAGGATTCGAATTTGAGAATCTTGAGGGGAGCACACTCTCAAGATCCAAGTCTTCACCACTAGGCCACACACAATCACGTGAATATGTGAAGAGGTTGTGATTTACACGATAGTCTTCAAAACCATAATTGATAAGTGCTTGAGAAACTTTTGGGTACCAATTGCGCGAAGCTTGGCGTAATTCATATAAATACTTATACAAACGACACACTTTACCTTGTTGAGGCAGATCATATCCTTCTAGTAGTCATATATGCTTCTTCATCTAGATTTCCATGAAAAAATGTATTGCTCGCATCTATTTGGCGAAGTTCCCATCCTTTTATGACTGCTACTAAAATTAAGCATCTAATTGCATTCATTTTGCCAATTGGTGCAAAAGTTTCATTGAAACCTTTCCTTTCAACTTGGGAGAAACCCTTAGCCACTAGACGCACTTTGTACTTTTCAATTTCACCATTAGCTTTGTATTTTATATTATACACTCATTTGTAGTCCTCCATTATTCTTCCTTATGGAAGTGATGTCACATCCCAAGTGTAAATTTTGTCAAGTGGTCTTTGTTCTTGTTGCATGGAATCACGCCATGCAAAATGTTTCATGGCTTGTGCAGATGTCTTGTGTTCCTCATGGGCTGTAAGTTTTGAAAGGAAAGCTCGATTTTTTTTATGAGAACTACGAGTAGTCAATGTTAAATTCATGGTTTTAGGATTGAAATTAATTTTGCTAATACATGATTTTTAAAAGGTGTTAAGCCAAATGTCATAACATCTTAATCAAATTGATACAACTGGACATGAACTTACATTGAAAAACAGATGTTCTGGCAGATGTCGCGACATCCTGAACATGAATATCAGTACAAGATGTTTTAAATCTTGACATATATGATTTAATTTTGTGATATCTCTTTTGGATAAATCCCAAAAATTTGTGCAGGTCAAGAAGATTTAATCTGGAACACGTGAATCAAAACTCCAATAACACTAAAGTTTTTAAAATTAGATGTTGAGACAATTTAAGATACTTGAAGATTTGTTCAAAGACTCAAGGAGATTTTTCTGCATATTTGGTGCAACCCTCAACTTGTGGATCAAGAAATATTTGGGTGGAGATTTCGAAGCCCATGGACTACTGAGGTGTATTTAAAGAGAAACCTAGACCTAATGTAATTAAAAACTTTCACAATTGTAAAATTAGGGGAAGTCTTAAGTCTTAAGTTTTGAGAGTCTCTTGTAGTTTTCAAGTCACCCATGTATCTTTTGATACAGTGTGGTAGACTGATTGTTACTTGATTTTTATCAAGTTATTGTACTCACTCTTGAAGCTTTTAAGCATAAAGTTTAGTATTGTTCTTGGTTGAAACTTTGAAGCAAAACTAAGTATTGTTTATTGGAAGTGTATTCTTCTATTTTGGTTATTGTTTCTAGTCACAAGGTTTGTCACTGTATTTATCATTGCGGTGATTGGAAGTGAGATGAGATTTCTCATATCTAAATGGTGATTTTTAGGTAGAAGTTGTACGGAGTAGTGATTAGGAGAGAAGTTGTAAACTGGGACTGTTTAGACCTTAACTAATACTATTATACTGGATTTCCTTCCTGGCTTGGTAGCCCTAGAGTAAGTGATGTTGCACCGAACTGGGTTAACAATTAACTGTGTTCTTTATTATTCTGCAATTTATCCTTCTGCATATTTTATAGTTTGATGTTATTATTCTGTATCAGAAACATATGTCGTAACATCTATCTTGACATTGTTCTGGTGTTGAAGCATCGGTTTTAACACAGATTGCAAGTGCCAAAATTTCATTTGTCCTAAGAGAAGACACCCTAGTTTTTTATTGGGTGAGCTTCAGAGAATATTTTTCTAGTACTATTGTTCTTTTTGTTTGAAGGTTGGAATGATAGCATTCTGTTTATCATTGGACAACAGATCTTAAAAAATTATCAAGAAGAATCCTGGTGCTGAGGAGATAGAAGGGAAGAGTGTGAGTTGGCTTTTTATCACTATGAAATTATCAATATCATTGGAATTGATATCTACTCACTATCACTTATATTGTAGCCAAAGATACTTGGGAATTTCTCATGTCCACTTATAAAGACACATCTAAGTGTGTTTGGGAAAAACTAGTTCAGAAGAAAGAATGATCAAGAAGAAGATACTCTGGTCTATACTCAAGAGGTTTGACATGAAAGTGACAAGTCATTGAAGAACAACAAGAGCATTGTTTTTGTTTCTAACTTATAGAATCTTGTACCCTGGTCTTGAATGAAGGATTTCTTATTGCTATTGTGATCCTTGGAAGGCAATCCAACTAGGCTTTGAGGAGAATGGACAAAATGTCTAGACCAAATGTCCAGAACACTTGTATTGGCTTCAGCAAGTCTATGATGCTCAAGAAAAGGATGGAACTGGAGTAAAGATCAACCAATGCCAAAGCATTCATTAAAATGATTGTGAAGACCTTGGATCTTTGTGGAACAGAATGTCCTATTTATCTCAAGAACAACTGTATGGGTTTTTTATTTCTTGGTTTAATTACAAAAGTGATCATGATTATGAATCTGCCAAGGATATTACTTGTTTGACTGGAAGATGGACTTCTGATTAAGATTCTTGTACTGAAGAATTATCTCATGATGAGTTGGCTATTTATTCAAATATTTGTACATCTAGAATAAAAAGGATTGTCAACCATGGAGAAAATAGAAGGTGACTATATCTTATCTTATGTCTTAAGAGAAGGGAGGTTCGCATACCATCTATAATTTACAGGGTGAGGTGAATCTATTAACCTTCAAACTTAATATCATAATCAAGTTTGTAAGGATAGTTCAGTTTAGTTGGAGGAGATTCCTCAAGTGGGAAGATGATTGAGAGCTGTTGTACCCTAAAATTTTCCCTCTCATTTCTCACAAGGATTCTAAAAAATTCAAGCTTGCACAAGTACAATTGGATTTTCCAGCATCAAGTTAAAGAGGAAACTGTTAAAAAAAGGACAAAGCAGATAAAAATAATTTTTTGAAGAAAAGCAAGTTTCCTTCGATTCACAAGGCTTCAATTGGACTTTGGTCTCCTTCAAACCTTCTTCGATTTCCCTTGATTTTGTTTAGACTTTAGTCTCTTTCAAGACTGCTTCGATTGGACTATGGCATCCTTCATGCCTCCTTGGATCCACAGAGCAGACAACGCCCATCTTCAACTAGCTTCGACTGGGCATTTAAAACAGCCTCCTTCGATTCAAAAAGGGAAACGCCTCCTGTTGGTGTCCTTCGATTCAGAAGGTAGTGGCTTCATACTGGCTTCCTTCGTTTCAGAAGGAAATGACCTTCCTTCAATTCAGAAGGCAATGGCCTCCTGTTTCCTTTCCTACGATTCAGAAACCATTTGACCCTTGCATGACTCATTCGATTCACAAAAGCCAGGACTTCCCTCAGGCCAGTATGTACAAGGAAAAAGCTTCCCCATGGCTAGCATTTACAAGATAATGACACTCACAACTGCCCCCTTCGAAGGATGCACAAAAAGGGCCCATTCGAAAGACACTTTGGTTGGAAACAAATATTACTATCTGAAGAGGAGTCTGGTCGAAGGTTAGACCTATGAGGTCAAAACGAAAAGATGAAATATTCAAATATTCTTGCTGCAAGTCTAAGCCTGCTACACTGGCCATAGCGTTCCAAAACTGCTGCACAACAGTCTTGCTACACTTCTCTTATTCTTGCACCAATTTGGCATACAAACACTGCCCCTCGAAAGCTACAAAAACAGCATACTCAATTTATTCAAATTGTTTTGTTTTCTCTCCTAAACCCCAGTCAACTTCATATATAAATAAGAGGCTCCATAACATCTAAAAGGGGCTAGACAACATATCTAGAGGCTTTTGATAGCTGGAGAAACTTTGAGTGTGTGAAAATCATCAAACACTTAACACATCCTCAAACCCAGAATTCAAAAGACCATACCTTTGTTTCTGACCCTTTCGAATCCAACA